ATTTTATGAGCTCACACTACTTAAAAAGGCTATTGCTCATGGATGATACCTTAAAATTTTAGCATTTCCAGAAGCAAAGGCATTGATGATGGCATCAGTGTTAGTCTCGTCTAATAATTTCTTCTCAACGCATGAAATAACAAAAAAAAACCATCTAACCTTTCTCGAGACATTACATGATGTATACTTGCATAGTCACGTGTCCTGGAACGGGAGTGATTGAGTGGCCATCGCCCTTCTGCGTTTGCCTATCGGCGATGTCGTGAGGAACGACGAGCCAGGGACACAGTCAATCAGCCGGCCGCCGGCGTCTCGGCAAGGATAAACAGAGCGATAGAGTGGCGGCCGGCGGAAGCGGAAGGCAATCGGCCGAACCTCTCGGAACTACGGGAACGGAAGGTAAAACGTCGGGTCGGACGTCGCTTCCACTCTCATATCTCTGCGGTTCTGCCCCTTCCGTTTCTTACTATGGGCCATGTTCCTTGAGTTGGGCCAAAGGCTATATATACCTATAAGGAAAAAAGTCTACTTTGTCTTTTTCGACTATCGGCTGAATCTTTGAAAAAATCATAGTAAATTAAAAAAAAATCATAAAACAGAAAATTCAATTTGCACTCCACATGAGTAGATCTACACAGTAAACATATGATATGGTATGCTTACAAAATTTTTGCTCTAGCTTTAGATCTATGTTTTTTGTGATTATTTCATAGCTGCAGTATTTGTGGTAAATTTTTATGGTGGACCAATCATTGTATGTTTGAGATGAAATAAAAATTTCATGCTCATTGGATCATGTATGAGTGAGTTATAGATTTATTCATATTTATGCTTATTAAATAGTTAAAAGTGTGTAAAATAAGAAAATATGTGTTCTCCATGTAATATTACTATTGTTATATCGTATGAACTCATACACTTAACATAATCATGTTGTCACAGATCAAATTACACAGAGAACATACATTTTCTATTACACACTTTTAATTATTTTAAACTATTTAATAAGCACAAACCTGAATAAATCTATAATTCAGTCATACATTATCTAATGAGCATAAAATTTTTACTACCTCTCAAGCATACAATGATTAGTCCACCATAAAAATTTCACAACAATAGGACCACATAAGCTGTAGCTATGAATTAATCACATAAAAGCATATATCTAAAGCTAGAGCACAAATTTTGTACTAAAGCATACCATATCATATATTTACTGTGTAGATCTACTCATGTGGAGTCCAATAAAATTAGATTTTCTATTTTATGATTTTTCTATAATTTACTATGATTTTTTAAAGATTCAGCCAAAATAAATATAAAAGAAAAAAAACACCTAGAGAAACAGGGAGGTCATATGTCCGGTTTGAAAAAATGGGGGAATAGTTATGTCTGGTTTTCTAGTTCGGGGAGGAAAACTAACTTTTACGATAATTGAAGGAGGTAAAGTAGACTTTTTCCTACCTATAATAGACATACATGAGGTTGGGCCCCTTGGATTCGAGGGCCCAGTGCGGTCGCACCCCTCGACCCCCTCCCTCCCTTCGGGGCGGGCTTGTGTGTCACAAGCCACAAAGGCTCACCTATAAATTTATGTTGTATCTCTCTTGATAGTATGGCATACCTATGAACTCAAGATTAAATGAAAACTAAAATTAAACTGCTATTTTTTCTCGATTTATTTTCACAAGAGTTGCAACTAGTTTATCTTCATCATTTGAGCAATACCCCTTGAGCATATGACTTGACCCATTTCAATATATATGAGTTCACTCTATAGCATCAAGTCACTCCTTCATATGAAACAAAGATTTGGTTCTCCCTAAGATATAACTTCTCATAGTTTGATTAGTGCCTCAATTAAATGTAAGTTCTATCTTCGTCACCTTAGCCCATGGTCTCTCGAAGTTGAGCCGTCGCTTGTCCTTCACCTTCGCTTAGTACCTCAAAGTCGATTCCTTGCTATCTTCACTCTCTCAAAGCTATCCTCAAGTCACACCTTTTCTTGAATCAACAATAAGCACAAATTGAAATCTATCTTCATTTGCATTGTTATCTTTTGCTTGCACTAGATTGTTTTCATGAACTTCCTTCTCAAGAGTGCTCGCTTTGATTTCCTAATGGCCGATCTTCACATTTGAGACTTCATTTGATATCCATCAACCAACATGTCCCTTTTGATATGTTCATCTCTTATGCTTGTCAAGTTGCTTGTTTCAATGATATTTCATAATATAGATGCAAGCCAACACAATGTGACCACGTACATGCATAAGTTCATGTCTCTTCTCCTTCACATACTTTGACTTGCCATATTATCACAATATGTCACGTATGAAATACCATGCACGTTTACCATTCAATTTGAGCCTTGATTATTCATAATGATTTGTGCAATAGAGTACATTTCAAATGTATATGACAACATCAATCACCTGCTCACACACTTAGCAAACACCGTGTTGACCTTTAATCATGTTATCAATGAATTCAACGCTTAGCAAACAAGTTGACCTTTATTCTCGGTTCTTGTTTTTATTACGCAGAAAATTTTTGGGGAAAATTCCTATCTTTTAGGCTCTAAGCTACACTAGCATCTGGCTTAATTTAATATTTCTCATCTCAGCATGTCACAAAAAAATATTTCTCATCTCAGCCAAGGTATCACCATCCGAAATCTTACCTGAACAAGGCCATGAGCCCATGAGCTCGTTGCCGCTTGTTCTCCTTCCCCTACCGAGATGGCACAAATTCCTTTCCTTGCCGAGGGCAGAGTGCAAAAGCAGCCTGCGCTAGAGTGTATTTCATGCGGCCCACTAGAGCTGGTTTGGCCCATGGTCAATTAGCGCTAGTTTGGCCCATGTTCATTCACGAGCCTGGGACCTAGGAGGAGTTCTCATGTTGAGTACAAAATGCATGTCTTTTTATTTTTTTCCACATTAAATGATAAAAATTAAAATAAATATTCGACATATGATTTTTCAAAAAAAAATACATCGATGATAAGTTTACAATACCTCTAGCAGATTTTAACAGCAAACCAAAAAATCGAGCTGAACCGAACTAAACTGCAGTGTCTGTTTTTTTGTTTCGGCTTCGATTTTGATATTGAAGAAGTTTGGTCCTCGTCCTCAGCTTTGATCTCTTGTCCTAACCGAATCAAGAAACCGTAAAAAATGAAGCAACATCAAATGGACCCACAAAGCAAATATCACGCAGCAAACACTGAATGGACCCACAAAGCAAATATCACGCAGCAAACAACCCACTTTATTTCAGAAAAAACGAAGTTCATTAAGGAATGTTTAAATCTAGATAGCTAATAGTTAGCTGCTATCACAACGAACTACCCCCGATAATAAAAAAATACTATTAGCTAGTTCTTACTGACTATAAGGTAGTATTTTGTTGGGAGACAAGATGGGATGGGAATGGTCATGTCTCTAATTTGTGAGGGATGAGATGACTCTATTTTCTATATGGTTGATGATGGCTGAGATGAAACCGTTTTATGTGAGTGGGATCAGCTACAGCTACTGACATGCGAGCCTATTTGTTATTTTTTTTTTTTCCTTCCTCCTCTCCTTGTCTCTTCTCTTTCATTCCCAACCGACCAACACCAGACACTGCAGCGGCTCCGTTGGCGAGCATAGCCGCCCTCGGCCCCGTGCCTCCATTAACAGCAAGCACAGCCACGCGCCACCTTGCATCACCTCTACTAGCGACGTACGCCTCTTGCGGCGGCGAGCCTGGCCGCCCCGCGCCAGCGAGCTTGGCCACGCACAGTGGAACAAGGCCGCAGGTGGAGCTCGACGAGGCCGGTCCGCCCATACGCGCCGGCTACCCTGTCTCCTCTCCCTTCTCCACACCTGCCCGTGGTGGCTCCTCCGTGCCTGCTCCACCGCCCAAGTGGCTCCCTCGTCTCCGCGCCTGCCTTCTTCCTCAACTCCGACGGCAAGCTAGCCTTCTTCCTCAACTCCAGCGACCGAATAGCCCGAGCTCCTCTTCTTCCTCATGCTTCTCGCGCGCCGAATACAAGGAGATATACTAGAAAAGAGAGGAAATATTGAAAATGGCATGGAAAACAAGTGTCATATGTTTTGAGACCTATTTTTACGTTGTCCACGTTACAAATGACAAAACTCGTTTCGAGAGTAATACTGAAGTATTTCATTCAACACCTCATTATTTGCCGTATGCACAAGTTAAACGGGTAATCCTTTCAAAAAAAAAAAAAGAAACAAAAAGAAAAGAGAGATCGAGAGAAAGAGACGGGTATTCCAGAAGTGCCCTCGACCTACAGCTCCAACCGGTTCACCACTCACCACCCCCTCTTCTCTTATCTCCTTCCCCAACCTGCACAGCCTCCCCGCCGCCTTCCCCCTCCGCGCCATCGACACACCCGAGCGCGTCGCTGCCTGGTGCTCGCGGTACGTCCACCCCTCCTCGTCTTTCGTTTCTCCTCTGCCGTTCAGCTCTCTCTGCCCCCCTCTCTCTTTCGTTCCCCTTCTTTCCTGGCGGCGTCGACTGGGCGAGCCCAGTCAGCGGCGCCCTTCCACACACGCCTCCGCCGGAGACGAGTGCCCACCAGGTATGCCTTGCCGCCCCCTCTCTTCCCCTCGTGCTGTGCGAAACGGAGCGCCCCAAACCCTAGAGTAAGTTGTTTGTATTGTTTGTAGTCGGATCTGACCCACCTACGAGTATGCACATGGATTATACCTACTAACCTCGATTTCCTTGCAAAGATTATCGGGGGTCCGCCCCTGCGCTGTGCCCTGCTAATTTCAGTTTAGTTTTTGGGCGTTCCAATGAGACCTCATTTGTTTCTGGGTTCTGAATTACAACTAGTGTTTCTTGATTAGTAGTTGGGGATAGTTTGTTATGCAACAGTGCCTGGTGTTATTGACACTTGTATTCCTGGAGTACCTAATGTAGCAAAGCTATTAACTTTGCCCTCTGTCATATTTCAGCTGGTACACGCAAGTAATAAACATTATATGGCGCTAGTACAGTTTAATGGTGCCTTGGTTCCTCAACTCGGTGAAAAACCTCGGCTGCTATCCTCGGCACCTGCAGTTGCAAGGGCTACCTATGCTGACGCAAGATTCCTGGCACCAAAAACTGGGTATGTCTGTGCAAAATTTGGATATTATTTGGTAGGTAGCATGTAATTCACTTCAGGAGTTCCAACTTCCATGGTGGACATGTAGTCTGTTTCATTCATTGTTGCCACTGCAGTTTGTTTCTAGCTTCTACAGTTATTATCAGTTCTTGTCATCTAGTCAGTTTTTCACATAGACTCAAAGTAGACTACACAACCTTATGGGCTATGTAGTGTGTACTTACACTAAGGAAAAGGTCATAAAATCACTGTGATACTTTGCTAAATCTTTGTCCCTTGTCGGATTGATAGATATGTTTATCTAAACCACCACTTTTTTTTAGTCAACAATGACAGAGAGATTGAGGTTTCAAAAATAGTAAGATGTAACATATACCTAACAACCTAATAGTGTCGAGGGACTTAAGCAAGATGCATTTCTATGCTTTGTCAATCCTGTAACTTTTAACAACAAAGTATTCTAAGAATGTTTAAAAATATATATATTCTACCATGTGCATAACTTTCTTAGCAAACTTAGTTGGTTTTTACCTTCTCTGTGCAGTTCAAGAGGTAGAGGTAAACACCTGCTATCACCTAGTTATAGTTTGCATTCACAGACCTCTTCTGAACAACTAAACCATGTACCATCATCAAGATTTCGCCAGAAAAGGGGTTCACGTTTTGTCGTCAGAGCTGAAGCTGTGAGCTATTCTTTTGTCTTTCTGCTTTGCTTATGTTATTGCTTCAAGGTGTCTTCCGTTCTGATTTGGATTTAAATCTCAAATGACAGGATTTCTATAGTGTACTTGGTGTCTCAAGAAATGCTAGTAAATCTGAAATCAAGAGCGGTAGGTATCTTCTGTTTAGTTGATCATGCTGTTAATGTTTTTCACTTGATTTGATTGTCATGTGTTAGAAGAATTTATTACCTAGTTTTTATTTGGTTGCGGTTGTCATGTAAGATGCCATGTATATCCTTGTAATTGTCACTTTGTCAGAACCCGTATTTATTAAAGAAAGTCCATCTTCCGTACTTCCAATTCAATGCTGCTCCAATAATATAGTGCACTTTTAAAAACAAAACCAACACTGATTTAAGATATGATGATATCACTTGTAAACTACTTTCTCCAGTCATAATTATACGACATTTTCGACAAGACCTGGTCAAACTTTTGAAACTATGTCTGCCAATGACTCCTAAAATATTAGCTTGGAAACATAAAGATGGCATGTGTAGATTTGTCTTCAAAGGTACTCTCATGTAAACTAAGTATGTGTATTCTTTGGTGTAATCTAGGCTTAATTGAACTTTAAGGTTATTTTCTTTGCACACAGAAGTATAATGCAGTTCTGCAAAAGGCTGTATTGTTAAGGTACAGTTGCAAGGTTGGCCCCACTTTGAGACCTTACTATTAGTGTTCCCTCCTTTGTTTTCATTTTGCACCATTGCCCCTTTTTGTAAACAAAATAGGGGCACTGGTGCAAACATTTTGGAAACAGTAGTGGTTTTGGTGCAAAATAACAAAAGGAGGACAGAGTCATAATTAGGCCCCATAGTGGGGGTAACCATGCAAATGCACTGAATTGTTACTATTTCATCTCATTTAAGATGTGATGTCCTTGGTGTCACTTTATTGCATCTGATTAGATGGTGTTGTTAGCTGTTTATTGCTTATTTTTATGAAAATATCAACTATGAGTGTTTGATAAAAAGAAAATATCAACTATGAGGCTGAAATTAAGAAGTTTTCGTAAATTGAAAGCATCATGGTCAGTAGTACCTGTACTGAATAGAGAATAGGGATTAGATATACATAACATGATGCTGTATTGTTTATTTTCTGTGTTGGTGCTGAATCCTTTTATTTTCCAGCCTATCGGAAGCTTGCGAGGAGCTATCATCCGGATGTAAACAAGTAAGTTGGTTATTGCAATAGAGAATCACTTTTCAGCTACTATCATCATTTTGTTGCTTTTCGCCTGCTTATATCCAGCTGTACATTCTTCTTATATTTGTTTTGTACATTAGACATCTTTCTCATCTAGTTAACTAATAATGAAAGTACCTATTTATGATTTATTTTAGAGATCCTGGTGCGGAACAAAAGTTCAAGGATATCAGCAATGCTTATGAGGTTGAGCCCACTGTTCATACTCAACTCCAAATTCCATTTTTGGTAGTAGGATTACACGTTTGTTTATGCTTACATAGCAAGGATGTCTTTGTAGGTTTTATCTGATGATGAGAAGCGATCAATCTATGATAAATATGGAGAAGCAGGTCTTAAGGGTGCTGGCATGGGCACAGGAGTAAGTTTTCCTATATGGTTTCTATATCAGAAGTTTGGTCAGCAGCATCATTGAATTGTTCTAATCATATGAATTTGTTTCCTACAGGATTACTCAAACCCTTTCGATCTCTTTGAGTCCCTGTTTGAGGGGTTCGGTGGAATGGGCGGAATGGGTGGTGGCCGTGCTGCTCGGAACAGACCAATGCAAGGTGATGATGAGAGCTACAATCTGGTGCTCAATTTCAAGGAAGCGGTGTTTGGTGTAGAGAAAGAGATTGAGATAACCAGATTGGAAGGCTGTAACACCTGTGATGGAAGTGGTGCCAAGCCAGGTACAAAGGCAACGACATGTAAAACCTGTGGAGGTCAGGGCCAGGTAGTCTCCTCCACAAGAACACCACTTGGAATATTCCAGCAAGTCTCCACCTGCAATACTTGTGGTGGCACTGGTGAATTCTCCACTCCTTGCAACACCTGTGGGGGTGATGGACGAGTGCGAAGGACAAAGAGGATAAGTCTAAAGGTTCCTGCCGGAGTGGATTCTGGGAGCAGGCTTAGGGTCCGGTCTGAGGGTAATGCTGGCCGGAGAGGAGGCCCTCCTGGGGACCTTTATGTCTTTATTGATGTTCTCTCGGATCCTGTTCTTAAGCGAGATGGGACAAACATTCTGTACACATGCAAGGTTTCTTACATTGATGCAATCCTTGGGACAACCGTCAAAGTCCCCACTGTTGATGGAATGGTTGACCTTAAGATACCCTCAGGAACTCAGCCAGGCACAACTCTGGTGATGTCTAAGAAAGGTGTTCCACTTCTTGGAAAGTCAAATACTCGTGGAGACCAGCTGGTGCGTGTCCAGGTTGAGATTCCGAAACGTCTGAGCAGCGACGAGAAGAAGCTAATTGAGGAGCTTGCAAACCTGAATAAGGCTCAAACAGCCAATAGCAGGAGATGATTATTGCACAAAGCTTTGTAGGACACCGTGCTTGTGCGATAGGCAATTTTGATGCAAACTGCAGTGATGAAAAGAGTTGGTAGTGGTAAACATACGCTTCTACGAACTACATACAGCAAGGGGTACACTGGAGCATAATGTGTCATGCCATATCTGTAACCTCGTTTTTAAGCTATTGAAAGTCAAGTCAGTGAACTGGACTTTTTGCAATAGCTTAACATATGGGCTAGGCGACTTTATTAGTCATTTTTTATTATTATACGGCTTTTCTATTCTTGAAAGCCTTAGGCAAAATCACTGATGTTGGAATCAGGCTTAAGACTCACATTTCTTGCAGAAATGCTGCACCATTCATGGAATCTGTAAGCTGGAAATGTCAACAACAACAATAACATAGCCTTTCAGTCCCAAGTAAGTTGAGGTAGGCTAGAGTTGAAACCCACAAGAGCCCCAAGTCACGGTTTAGGCACTTCAATAGCTGATTTTCAAGTATTCTTATTCAAACATAAATCTTTAAGTATATTCTAAGCTTTTAAATTTTTTTTATTGTCTTTCCTCATGTCAATCTTGGTCTTTCTCTATCTCTCCTCATATTATTAGCTTAGCTTAGACTCTATAATGTACTGGTGTGCCTCTGAAGGTCTTCTTTGGATATGGTCAAACCACCTCAACCGATGTTGGACAAGCTTTTCTTTAATTGGTGCTACCTCTAGGCGATCACGTATATTATTGTTTCGAACTCGGTTCATTCTTTTGTGACCGTAAATCCATCGCAACATACGTATTTCTGCAACACTCAGTTGTTGAACATGTCGAATCTTTGTAGGCCAACATTCTGTTCCATACAACATAGCCGGTTTAATTGCTGTTCTATAGAACTTGCCTTTTAGCTTTTGTGGTACTCTCTTATCACAGAGAATGCCAAAAGCCTGTCGTCACTTGATACACCCTGCTTTAATTCTATAGCTAACGTCTGCATCATATCTCCATCCCTCTGTAATATCGATCCTAAAATACCGAAAGGTATCCTTCTTAGACACTATTTGATCTTCCAAATTCACATCTGCCTACTCCTGTACAACTCCGCCAAAGTCGCATCTCATGTATTCGGTTTTAGTTCTGCTCAATCTAAAATCTTTAGACTCGAGGGTCTGTCGTCATAACTCTAGTTTTCTATTTACTCCCGCCTGACTTTCGTCCACTAACACTACATCATCAGCGAACAATATACACAAAGGGATATCCCCTTGTATGTTCCTGATAATCTCATCCATTAACAAGGCAAAGAGATACGGGCTGAAAGGATCAAGATGTCCAAGAGGAGGGTGAATTGGGCTAATTCTAAAATTCTTTGTAATAATTAAATCATACACTTAGTTCACTTCACTCATTGTGCCTAGAATGTGTTCCTATTGATCTACCGCACAAAAGTTTTGCACCCTAGGTTCTAATCCTACTTAGCATGGCAATTCTAAGAATCTAAAGACAAGAATTGAATTGCTCAAATATAAATGATTAAAGTAAAGAGAGGAGAAGGAACGCGGCGATGTTTTGCCGAGGTATCGGAGAGTCGCCACTCCCCACTAGTCCTCGTTGGAGCACCCGCGCAAGGGGGTAGCTCCTCCTTGATCCACGCAAGGATCAAGTGCTCTCTACGGGCTGACTCTTCGACACTCCGTCGTGGTGAATCGCCCACAACCGCTCACAACTTGAGTTGGGTCATCCACAAGCTCCACCGGATGATCACCAAACTCTCGATCACCACCAAACCGTCTAGGTGATGGCGATCGCCAAGAGTAACAAGCACGAACTCTCACTTGACCACAACAAACCTAATGAGAAGGGTGGATGCACACTTACTACTCTCCTTACACTAATGAGGCTTTAATCTTGGATTCTCAAATCTCAATCACCTCACTAGGCTCTTGGTCTCCTTAGCACTCTCAAGGGTGTTTCTCAGCTGAACAAATGGGCAAGAGGCCTCCCTTAGATGAATAGAGGAAGTATTTATACCCTCTCATTCAAAACGAACCGTTAGGAGGTTGCGTCAGCACTCTGCGGGGTGACCGGATGCTCCGATCATTTATCCCTGCCATAGAGCCATTAAGTTGTGATCAGACTCTGACTTGCGTCCGGTCAGCACTGACCTGACGCGTCCGGTCACGAAAATTGCTCTCTAGAACCTTACTGATGTTGACCGGACGCTGGCACCTAGAGTCCGGTCACTTCGTTGTTCAGCGCCCGGTCAGTAACCGGATCATGACCAGCGTCCGGTCAGCACTTAGCGGACGCGTCCAATCAGGAAATTCCCTCTCTGAAACCTCTCTGGAGTTGACCGAACTCTGGCACCCAACGTCCGATCACTTTTCACTCAGCGTCCGGTCGCAAGCAGACGGCTTCAGTTGATTAAATGAACTGATCGGACTCACCCTTCAGCATCCGGTCACAACCAAACCAACGTCCGGTCAGTCATTTGACCCTCCATTCACTTCCAACTCGAAATCATATGTAAAAGAAGTTTTATCCAATTGATCTTAGGGCTACTCCTGAGCTATCTAGTGCTAGATTTGATAAGTGTGCACCACACCTAACCCACTAGACTCACCTAGATCAAGATACTAGTCCATACCCCCCTTAATAGTATGGCCAAAGAAAAAATAAAGTCATAAACTACTCTAAGTGTCTCTTCAACACCAAACGACACTTAGAACTAGTCTATCCTTAACATTGTCGTCCATCCTTTGAAAACCGAAACGATTTTCATCGTAGGGGCATGACAACCATGATTGCCCAATCAATTATCATTACCATGACCTAACTTAATTGCCTCTGCAAAACACACGTTAGTAATAGTAATCTCGTATTGTCATTAATCACCGAAACCCAACTAGGGATCTAGATGCTTTCACGGGCTTAAGACTGACGTTTGATGAAGTTCAATTTTAATCGAGAAATAATCTGTGTTACCATCGTTTGTTCGAACACTAGTCACAATATTGTTGTACATGTCCTTGATAAGGGTCACGTACTGTAGTTTTATGGTTTGTGATGCATTGGGGGTTTATTGTTGCTCTTAAACTACGTTATCGAAACAATACATTTTGTCGTAGGCGGCTGCTGATTTGAAGCTGCCTCTGCGTAGAGCTGGTACATTTTTGCTCTAGGCAGCTGTTGATATGAAGCTGTTTGTTCTGTGTGTGCAACTAGTTGTTGGGACTCTAATGTAATTTGTTTTTAATAAAATGGTTGAATATGCATATGCTGACATGCACATCTTTCTATGCCAACCAGTATAAGGGGGCGTTTGGATGGAGATTGGGATAGGGTTAGAAAAATTAATATGTCACTTTTTAAAAAGTAGTCATAGACATCTATTCTTTATACTTTATTTAATCTAGCCGTTCATTTATTTTCCTCGTCCCGCACTCTACTATACATCCCAGTTCTACGGACCATGTTCTCGTTCCTTCTTGACCTACTTGCCTCCAAAAAAAAAATGCTAGACTTCAAAAGAAAGTACTGGAAGCAACCACGGTCCGTAGTGCAGTGGGGTAATGTTGAGTCTGTACGCCGCTATCATGTATTCGTGTCATTGCGTGGCCTTTGCATAGGTTTTTTCTAGTACAGCTTGGTAAATGTATTGGTAAAATTACATAGGGGTAAATGTTTTGGTTCAAAGTTATCCTGTGCCCATTTATTTGGAGTGCCAAGTGTCATGGCAAGGCTTCAAGAAGAAGGTAACCAAATGCCCATTTTGTCCCTGACTATATCTGGATCAAACAAAGAGCTTCGATTTCGTGCATAAGAATATCTTCTTATTTTCCTAAGAAAAAATATATCTTCTATTTTGGTTGAGCAGTGAGTTTGGTCCGGAGACAAATTTAGATGCGATATCAATATCTATGGATTTCCTGGTAGAATGAGTCATATGGCCTATTTGGTTGAATGGATGGGCCGCGTCATTTTTATGTTTGGTTTGATGGACGAGAGTAGATAGGATGAGAATATTTGACTAATTATATATTTTAACTAAAAATAAAGCAACTAATCATACGCTAATAAAGATACACTAACACTAATTTTGCCATGATAATCACTAATTAAAAAATAAATTATGTTAATTAGAACTACTACCATAGTTGGCATACAAATCATGCACTAATCAATATAGTAGCACTTATCAAACCTAGTCTTGCCGTCATAATTGCTGAGTAATAATTTATTTACTAATAACTAAAATTTAAAAAATGTCGATGAACTTATTCGTTTTTTTTTGTGGTACCTCATCTAGCATAGAGAGGGAATATTCTCTTAAGTGGCCACCCTATCCTCCTTGCCTGTGAACCAACCACATTTAACATATAGATCACGATCTTCCGTCCATAGATATCTAAGAAACCAAACACACCCTTAGGCTACCCATTGCCACACGGATGTACATCAAGATCTAGGTCTTCATGGTTGCTCCTCTACGAGGAAATATGGCTAGAACCAGAGCTTATAATGTGTATATGGCTACACACTAGATTTAGAGTTCCCGAGATCAAATCAATGGTCTTAATAATTAAGTCAAATGAAAGGTCGGTCCATTAGCTTGTCACTCGTCCAAGCTCGTCAGCTTTATAAGTCGCACGTAATTCATGGAGGCGGATCAAAGATGAACTAGGGAAGACACGCCAAGGTCATTTGCCTTTAGGCGACAAAAGTAAATTAGAGAAGGCTCAGATGAAATGAGGATTATTCGCGGTGAAATTGCGTTCATCAGCCTTATTTTCCTTCCTCAAACCACATTTACTGAGGTGGATTACGACGTAAAATAACGAATTTTCACCCCAGTATGATCCACTAACATACGTGGATTATTAAAGTGAATATGAGTGCATCCAAACAAGTCCATGTGTGAAAAATACATGTGTGCTCATATTTACGCCAGATATGCTAAGTACATTTCATAATTAGGATGTCCTACAAAAAGTCTTACCATTCCTTACGCCTTGTTAAAAACACATGTGTGAAAATACATGAGTGCATCAAAACTCACTCTAATAACACATGGAGTAAAGTGGATACGAGTGCATCCCAACAAACCCCTGGGTATTCATAAACACTTGTACCATTTCAATATTTGTGTAAAAATTTGTAATCATTTCCGGCCTAGCTAGCTAATGAATTCCTCCTCCTCCTCCCTCGCCCTCGTCATTAAATTTTAAAACCTTGGCATTTTAATTAGCTCCAATAATGTTCATGCTATTTGCGGCACGACGGTGCGATCGGTCGAGGTGGATCAGAGCTTGATGAGGGTGTAGGTGGCAGCTCCTGCAATGGCCCCCAGCGGCGGCGCCAGCAGGTAGATCCAGATGTCCTTGTACTTCCCCGTCGCCAGCGCCGCCCCTATCGTCCGTGCCGGGTTCATCGACGGCCCCGTCGACGGCCTGCAGAGCATGCATGCACACTCGCTCAGCGTTTCATACTCTTTGCCCATTGCGGAGCACCAGTTCATGGGTATTTTCAGTAGCAGCAGCAGCACTACACTTACCCTCCGATGAGAGCGTTCATCATTATCGCCGCCGCGATCGCGATGGCCACCAGCTCTTTGCTCTGCACAAGATCAACAAACATTCAGTCAAATTTTGGCACAAGATCCATGATTGCATAATATATATCTACGGCGGCGCACGGTGCACTTGCCGAGGTTGGGTCGGTGGCGACGGCGGTGATGACGAACATGAGCACGAAGGTGAGCACGAGCTCGAGGAAGAAGGCCTGGGCGGCGCCGACGCGGGGCACCGTCGCCATGACGGCGGGGTCGGCGGGGCGGTACATGGCCTTGGCGAGGAACGTGGCGGCGACGGACCCCATCGTCTGCGCGGCGGCGTAGGGGAGCACGTGGGCGCGCGGGAGGTGGCCGAACACGCCCATGGCCAGGCTCACGGCCGGGTTCAGGTGCGACCCGGAGACGTGCACCACGGCGAGCACCACCGCCAGCCCCGCCGACGCCGCCACGCCCACAAGGCCCTCCGCGCCGCCGTGCTGCGCGTCCGCCACGATGGTGGAGACCACCGCGAACATGAGGATGAACGTGCCGATGAACTCCGCCGCCACCTTCTTCGCCAGCGGCACCTCGGCCGGGACACGCGTTTGCTCGTTGTTTTCCACCACGTCAGCCTGTGGCGGCGACTTGAGCATCAGTTTCTGCAGGGAGTCCAGCGGCACCGGCACCAGCTTGCTGGATCTCGGAGTCGAGGCGGGGCCGGCGCCGGCGAGGCTCCGCTCACTTGGCGTCGAGCACACGCTGATGGCCACCTGCTTCTGCTCTTCAACGCTCACTGTGGTGCGATCAGCCATTTCTCAGTTCACCTCAGCTCCAGATAGATCTCTCTAACATACTTACTGATTTCCTTTTATTACACTTTTCTACCTATATATGCACATAGTTCTCTTAATGGCCTAGCTAAAACAAAGTTTCCTATGATCTATGCAGACATGTTTTGAGTGATCTTGCAAAGTTATCAGGTACCTAGTCTTATATCAGTGTGCACACAGCATGTGAAGCCAAATTTGGAGAATATTTATCAACTTGAATGTTGTGTTGCATTGGAGTTATTGTGCCCGTAGGAGAATATGACGAGGAATATGTGATGAGAGCTGGAGCAAAATGTATGTATCAGGAGCTAATCGGAAAGAAGCCATAAATGAGTCACTGACTTTTTTTTTTTTGGGTCATTTGGCCGTGGGACAGAGCTCTCCGTCAGGTACGGTGTGACGATGCCAAGACATTCCCATGCATATTCCCAGGAATTTTCGGCAAGACAAATGCTCAGATAGTCAGATACCAATACGACAAGACGTAGCCTATGCTCCGTGGGCACAAGAGGCGTCCTTGCTTTACACTTCCAAAGGTCCACAGATAAGATGAGTGGCCTCATTCTCAGTTTACTACGAATATTATTAAACAAACTATATGTCGAGAAGTAAACATATATGTATGAGTGATCAGTAGAGCATCAAGAAAAAGTAGCACAAAGGCTTCATTCTATCATTCTCATCAACCCCTCAAAGGGCAATCAAGTCTATTTCGAGCCAGAAATGGCCGACGCAGGTGCACCGAAGTATGTTACAACCCCAGTGGAAACGAATGCTATGTTATTGTGCTTTATTGTTGATGTGGTCTTCACGCTTTGAAAAGTTCGAGCAGCGCACAGCCTCAGGTTCAATAAGTGCTAGATTTTTTAGAACTAAATCGAAGCGCTGGACTGAAGTGAGCTTCTTGCAATCTCTAATGCATTTTCAACAGAAGTCGCAGCCTGGAGCTTAGACTTGTCGACAACAGGCTGAGATTTAGCAAGTTGTGGAAGGAGCGAGAATTCCTGAAACATTGCAGAAAGTTCGGCATGAACATGTCGAAAATTACATGCTGTCGTAATTAATGTGACTTATAACTTGGTAGTAAGTTCAATAGAAACAGAACTGTCCTAGATTAGCATGGTCTTGTTCAAGACAAAGGTGGTGTGCATTTACCTCTGAGGTTCCACTCTCAAGGAGAACACCCTTCAGTCGACTATCTACAGTTTTGTGAAGGCAGAAAGGTCATGCTATGTTTAATTACAACTGAGAAGAACAAAATGTATTCCAAACTACTGATTACCAGAGTCAATCCAGAAAGTTGCAATCTTTGGATCAAAGTTCCCTACTTCAACTGTTTCACCAACTGCTCAGAGCACAAATTAAAGGCATTAATATCATGAGTACACATGATCAATCACAAGGACCAACTTGTAATGTAGAAAATGGCTGTCGTGGTACTCATACCGTTATCGCCATAAAACTGCCACCAAATTTTCCTGGCACTTCCTTCATACTCAAAAACTCTTGAGTAGAAATATGGAAGGTAATCATACCTGCATCCAACACGGTGAATCAAAAGAAGCACTGGGAGCTAAACTAACAGAGTACACTTGACATCCATAACTTACGCTTTTGTCTGGGATGTTAGGAGAGTTTCTACACAGTGGTGTGCAGATTTCCGAGCATGATCCACATGTTCCACTCGAGCAACTCTATCGTACATCTGCAATGAGTTTGGACAAAATATCATATTCTGGATCCAACTTTGCCTCAAAAGATCACAATGATTACCAACCTTCAGCGGAAAAGCTGCTACATCTCCAATTGCAAAGATGCCAGGTACACTAGTTCTGAACAAGGAATCGACCTACAAAAATATACTCAATTAGATCTCTTGACCAAGAATAAATCGCAATTTATTTACAGGATGCCAAACAATTGAGCAAGTAATTATCAAAATTAGAATATATCATACAATGAAGCAGCACAAATCCAACAAGAAGGATCACCGTGACAATGAAGACAGCTAAAAACAATAAATTGGTAAGGGTAAGAAGTAACTTAAACAAGTGATCCAACTTGAGGGGCTTTATGTGTTGTTTGCTACTAATCCAAATTAATCCCATAAGTGTCTCAGGTAGAAAAGAAAGAAAAGGAAATAGTTTCATAGAAACTTTGAGCAATTATCATGATGCAGAGCAGTGAGATTTAATAAGCCCAATTAACTTTGGCATGGAAACAAACCTCTATTCCACCAACTTCATGGTTGACACCAACAGCTTCAAAGGGGCTGACAACTGGTTTTGCTCCTATACCAACAACTACCTGCACTTATAATATCTTGTTAAAACAGCAAGAATATCAAATGCCTGTTTGTCTTCTTTTTCAGTTTACGGGTCCTATGTTCAATGAAACATAGTGTATTCTAAATATATGTCAAACCAAGTGAATGAGTAGATCTATCAACTACACTTGTATTGAATATTGAATGAATAAATCTATCAAATTGAGTCTATAAGTAATTAAGAACTGTTGAAGATTTAGTGTCTACGAAGAACATTGGTTTGCCCTATTTGATAGCAGAGAGGTGGATCAAAAAGATTAATATGATAATTTATCTGGTAGTAAAAGTAATAATTTGAATTGTACTGTCCTGCTGCATGAACCATTAGAAGGAAATAAATGGCATAACTGTATCAGCTTCAACTACAGATCCATCCTTAAGTACTGCAGAAGACACCCTTTCATCAGAGCCAGCTTCAAGTTTGTCGATAAGAGCACCCTGGTTACCAATAAAGATGCTCATACTCAAATCAACTGAAACAAGACTAATAAATGAACTTAAATATTTGGTGCAAGAATTACCTTCATGAATTTGACACCATTTTGCTGATACAGTTCCTCATACTTCTTAGCAAGAGAGGGTGTAAATAATCTTGGCATAATGTGGTCCTCTGGGAATATAATCTATTCAAGTAGGAGCCTTAATTAGAGACGTGGCTTTTTTAGCATATAGGTTGATGTCCAAGTTTCGGCGTATCAAACTGATAAAAAAAGGTAGCTCCTTACAGTTGTGTCAAGATTCCAGCCACAAGCTGCTGCAGCTACCTCCATGCCAATATAGCCCCCACCAATAACCACCACCTTCTTTGCACTTCCCTACAAAAAATAAGCAAATAAAAAAAAAGAATCACTTGCAAATACCAAAGAGGTGGGATTGTCAAATGAGATAACATTAACTCTGGTGGATGAGGAATGATGATAATTACTGCATCAGTATACTTTACATACCAATGAGGATACTAGAGAATCAGCATCAGCAACATCCCTTATGTAGTGAACTCCAGGTAATTTCCCTCCAATTTTCTCAGGTAATCTGAAAAAAAAGGATTTTTGGTATTAGAAGAACATAATGTTGAGATTCATTGTAACCATGTGAGTGGACAAAGTTTGTGCATTCAATTCATACATACAACCTAACAGGAATTCACTGGATTAGCAGATTGTCCTAAATCTCGGGAGAGAGAGAGAGAGTTTAATAAAAATGGACATCATGATAAGGACAGAAGAAATCTGGTTTTCCAGACATTTAAATGCAGATCATTCACACAAGTATTGTTGTATACCTTGAAGCTTCACAGCCAGTAGAAATAATAAGTGAGCCGTATTTTAGAATTTTCCCTGATGAAGTTTTTAAGGTTTGTGTTTTGCCATCAAATGCTACAACTGGATCCTCATACAGCACCTATCACGAAAGAACAAATAGCTTCAGATAAAAGTGTAACAGTCAACACAGCACATAAAACACAAATGCTAACATCATCACTACCTCTATACCATTCTCCTTGTACCATTCAGCAATCTGTCGCTGTCCACCAGATCCAACGCATGTATGGAAACCCTACCACAAGAAAAAGATTAAGACTATGAGCCTGTTTGTGCAGCTCTAAATTCTAATTGATGAAGTGAGCAACAGATTATCAGGTAAAAGCTCCCTTAAAAGTTTTATGCAACATTCTGATTACTGAAGGTCTGAAGCAGATTGTAATAAAGGCCAAATAAAACTGAGAAATTCAGCAGTCCCGAATCTGGCTATCATGATTCAGTTTTGCCTGCCATTGTAATTTGTTGGTGTACTTACAGGTAGGCGAGCCGGTTTCTTGTCCGGAGGGAAAAGATAGCCTTTGGTCAAGGCTGGCCGCTCGTATGGTGGAACTGGCTGCATGAAAACAAGCACCATTACGATCAAACATGACCAGATAGCCTTCGAAAGTTCAAATCAAAATGTTAATAGAAGTTTGCATTGGGTAACATTGCAGGGGACAATTAGAAAAAAAAACGCAAAGAGCATCTACTGAATTGGAGAAACCAGCAATACCTCCTTGGAGACGATGCAGAGGCGGCCATCAGCCATGCCGTGCTCGACGAACGTCCTGGCGGCGTAACCCGCGGCGTTCCCTCCGCCGACGATCACATACCTGCAGTCCGGCGATCCGCCAACCAACCATCCATGAGCATTCCTTTTCACTTTTTGAACAGCACTCCTCTGTTTCAGAGGATCGAAAGAGAAACAGGGCACCCACTCCCGGTTCTGGTTGTCAAACACGGCCGCCGCGGAGACCGAGAAGGTCCGCCGGGAAGAGAGCCGAAGCACGCCGGCACCGGCACCGCCGCCGCGCTGCCGCAGAGCCCACGTGGCTGGCGACGAGGAGTAGCTGAAGCTCTGCGCCGCCGCCGCCGCGGAAGCCATCTGCGCCGCCTTCTGCCGGAGAGCTGCGGCCACCTCCAAGAAACGGGGCCGAGGGGACGGCAGTGAGTGTCAGAGGGGCCTAAATACAATTACACGAAGCTGCGCGGGGAAGAACCTGAAGTCATCGGCGGCGCCCTTATAGAGGACGGAAGGAGGCGTCGTCAGTCAGGCGCGTTGGAGAAGACGGGGGATTGGATTAGGGAATAGTAGTTTAAACGCGAGAGGTTTCGGTGCGATTTGGAGGGGGCGGAGGGCCGCGGGCCGCTGACCGCTGCGAGAGGCCAAGGGACGGACGCGAGAAGACGACCGACCACCCCGGTAGCCTGGACAAATTTAACTGAGAACTGAAAACCGAACCGAAAAAACTCGAACTGAAACCGAAAGAACCGGAACCGAAAAATTCGGTTCCTTATTTGGTTCCTGATATTGAGGAACCGAAATAATCGAAAAAAATTTGATTCCTACTCTCGGTTAACCGAATTAACCGAAAGAACCGAATTACATAAATTATACTTCACTTACTTGTAGGATTATGTTTAGTTTATGTGTAGTGTTTTATATTTGAACTGTTATATATTTGTGTTACTATATTGCTATTGTTTTCTTCTATATTATTACTATTAAAAATGAATATAGTGTTGCATAAATTTATCTTATAACAAGTATATTTATTATTGTCTTGAGGTCTTCTGAAAAAATTCGGTTAGTTCGGTTAGAACCGGAATCGAACCGAAATAACCGAGAACCAAAATGCTCAGTTCCTAAAAAATTTTGGAACCGATCGGTTCCCGTTTTCTAGGAACCGAATTTCATCAATAACCGAGGGAAGCGAACCGAAACCAAACCGAACGCCCACCCTGACACCCCGGTCCAGCGGCTGAGTGGAGGCGGGGAAGAACAGAGAAGAGGGGGAGGAAGGAGGCAGAGGCAGTGGCACTTGCAATTTCTTCCTCTTTCCGATTTATGTCCTCTTGGCTGTCGAGACGGAACCCAAACAACACAATAGCTGTAGTCTCCAGAGTACATAACATAAATCTGAGTATCCTCTCTCTTGAGACCCATTTACAGAAAGGGTTGTCTTTTAGGTCTTGTTGTTGGAGAAGACCAAAAATAGATATCAAACCCTTTGACTATAGCGCTACCCAAAGGACAAATAGGTCTTGTATTTTAGGTCGCGGTTGTTAAAGCCAGTAGAAAATAGAAACTGCAAATTTACGCCTTAAACCCCTCTGTTCAGAATATTGAATGAATTTCCATGTGTTCCCATCAGGTTCTGACCACCAAATTACCAGAGCTTACACAGCACCTGGTTTAACCTAGTGCACAAGGTTCTGCTAGTCCTGACATGGTGCTAAAATGTATTACCCTACCATTACAATCTGGAAGCATACAACCCGGAAGCTATGGCACTGCGCGCACATTTTTTAAGAACCAGACTATAAAAATATAAGCAAATGACAATACGCCAAGGGACCCAATGAAATTTTGGGAAACTGACTAGTACAACATGGCTCAATGAAAGTGCACCTGTCTTTGGGGAAAAAGACAGCAGCTGGTGACCTGGTGTAGCTGTCCACTAAACATCCTTTTCAGGGACTCCAGAAGCTCAACACTTGTACTAGTTTCAGATACAAACAAACTAGAAGAGTGATACATGTCCGATGTCCTATTATGATTGGAGAATTAGATCCAACACAGCTGCTGTGTAGGTTCTACAGAGATCCCAAGTCCACACCACCTTCCAGCACCTACCATCAAACTCTTCTGACCTTCATTCGGTGACCAACACTGGTTTTCCTCTTCTGCTGCCTCCAGTTGCCATGTGATGAAATCAGGCAATGTTGAGGCTGAGCCAAAGGTGCTTTATGACTATTCACACGCAGATCAGCTCAAGCATGGCATACAGATACATGTTCAGTTTTCAACAGCATGCATTACATACCGACACAGTGCACATGGGATCAAGATAGATTCAGGTTTCTGGCAAGGGAACATTTTGGGCAGGTTTTATGATCTCAGGCCTGGAGCTGTCAGCCTATACCGCTGCATGCAGGATTTAGGTTCAGCTAACCAGGCTCCATGCATCACAACAGATACTCTTCCAGTTCCACACCAGAGGCATGTATACTTCAGTAGTAGGATCATCTCTTGCCAAAGAAGTGATGGATCTGAGATTGGCCACCTTTGCCTCCAACCTTCGGTGCCTTTGGCCACAACGCTTGAGACTTGCTATCCTGCAGAAAAATAACACGCATAGGGGTTAGTTGTTAAGAGATCGAATTGCTTTTGTTATCCGGCAAAGGAAAAACATGGGAAGAGCTCGTTCAACTCACCTGGGATTGGCCAAGGTCCCTCAGGATTTTGACCTTCCCTCCTCGACCATCCGGTCCCACAGCGATCAGGTTGCCTCTGTTTCCACTTGCAGAACCGGGAGCTGTTGAGCCCTTGCACCATTTGCCAATGCTTTTTCTTGCTCCATCCATGCCAAGAATTCCTGGTGCTTGGAAATCATCTGATCATAGATGAAATACAGTTGCTTTGTAAGTATATAATTTCAGTGTGCAGGAGCTGGTGGAGATGGCATGTAATAGATATCCGTAAATTCTTAGTGATCCCTAAAACACATGGGCAATCAGGATCAAATTACAATGTCAGTTTTTAGTTAGATTTAGAGAAAGTTGTGTCTTTTATTTTTTGCAATTAGAATGGAGGGACAGTACGTTAAATCCTAGGTCCACTTTATGCAACTTGAATGCAAAAGTTGTTTGCCAGAACAGCAAAATAACTCACCAGAAAGAGAATTGATGTTGTGAATCTGCTGAGGTCCAGTGCCAGATGCTAACCTAGTTGCTTGTTTGGAGATGCCATCAATTGTCAGTGTTTCACTCTCCCGTGTTGAACTTGTCACATTAGTTCTCACTGAAAGACTCTCCTGAGGAATATGCAGTTTGGTCCTAATGTTCGCCATGAACGTTGATTTTACAGTTGCTTTTCTGTGTTTGAGGAAGGGTCCTCCTTGTGCTACATGTGTGGTTGTGCATTCAAATGCCTTGGACTGTTGGTCATCATTTTGACAAAGACTAGACTTGTTTTCGGAATTCAATGTGCTATCATCAGTCCCAAATGGCTTGGCAGAAAATTGAGCCTTCTGTTCATCTCCAAAACCAGAATCATTGGCTTCTAGGTCTATCACATCTGCGTTCTTGTTGTGCAGGTTTTCTCTGGCATTCAGATCGCTCTTAGCTTCAGGTTTTAACCGGTCAAAGTGAGTCTTGTCGTTGCACGGATCCTGCATCACTTCATCGAGCTTGTTTGTTTGATTTTCATATCCAGGACTTGAACTAGTGAAAGCATTATTGGCTGTGACATTCCCAGATTTTATATGGTCTGATTTAAATTTCTTTGAAGACCTCAAGTCCCTTAACAAACCATTTTCTTTATCCTCTAATTCCTTCTCAAGTTCCTGTACCCTTGCCTGTATTTGTTCACGCTGACAAAGGTCACTCAAATGAATTTGTACATTGAACCATAAGTTTATATATGAGGCTGAGCTTACCCTTAACTTCTTTATAAACTCTTTGGCCTTCTCAAGCTTCTGCTGCATGCGAGACTCCGATCTTCCCAAAACATTACATTGGACCATCAATTCCTTGTAGCTCCTAAAGAAAAAATGCATCACTGTGAAGCAATCCAAGGTTGGGCTACTAGTCTACTACAGTATGTTCAAGGGTAGTTCTTTTTTCCTTTATCTAGCATCATCTTGAGCAAAATTTCAGCTGTACCAATGACCAATGAATCCACTTCATGTTGTAAACAATGCGGTTCATCTTCCAGCTGTTAAAAATGTGGTATCAACTAGCAAAGTTCAGTATGTTCTTTGCTTCTTCACAATATTTAAAAATGCTAGAGCTGGACCATTGGCTATGAAATTTTATCCAGAACTGCACGATAATTCTTCTCAGTACCTATACATTTTAAATTATTTGGTGTTCAACTTGGGACAGACAATCCAAATTAACGCAACTCCAGTTTGACAGTTGAAACTCCTATGATCTAGTTTGAGAACCTCACGATACCATAAAAGATAGAAACTATGCATCCAGTTGGCTACACTTTGCAATTTATAACAACTGAAGTGCTTATAAGTGAACATTTGCAGGTAAAACTATTTCCGGGTCCTATTTAAATGTATGATTCCAGTTATAGCTGGGACTACTGTAACAAGGAGTATAATGCAGTTCACTAACGCTCACTGGTGACTAAACATGAGCAGATTGTTTCCAGATAAGGATATGAAGAAGATAAGCATACTTGTTCCGAATAGCAAGCGATCTCTTCAAAACATCAACAGCATTCTGCAGGTTTCCATGGTTACCAAGTGAAGCCAACTTCAGGATTTCTTCCTCTTGAAGGTTCATGTCTGCCGACCTAGCGAATAAGATATCAAAAAAAGTGTCAATTCCCATAAACAAGAAACAACAGCAAAGTAATTTTGCACGCAAGTGATTGCATCTTTCAGTTTCAGGTAAAAAAAAAGAACATACAGCTTCAGCGCTGCAAGCTCTTTGGCTAATGCAAGGCTCTTCTCCTGCAATCTCCCACACTCTGATGTCTTCCTCGACAACTCCTGCGACGAAGAGACTACGTCATCCACTAATCCATGGCTGGATAAGCAACCAGAGGCACCAAATCACCAACAGATGCACCAATTACCTCCGTTCTCGCATTGAGCAGCATCTGGAGATATTCTTTTTCCTTCTTCGCGGCTTGCAGCAAAAAGCTTCCCGCCTCCATCTGCTCCCTAAACACGGCAGCCTGGCCCGAAACCACCACCAACAAACCATCAGCAAACGAAATCCGCGCGCCACTCGACGCAGTTCACAGATCGGGAAAGGAGATCAGCATGCACTAGCCTGGGACTTGAGATCGTCGATGCTCTCGCGCTGCTCCTCGACCACCTTGCCGAGGGACGCCGCCTTCTGCTCCAGCCGGGCGACCTCGGCAGCGAGCACCTCCGGGTCGGCGCCCCCGGAGGCGTTTCCCGGGGAGGAGCAGGCCTGGGTCGGGCACGTGCCGGTGGAGCTGAAGTAGAGGCGGGTCGGCGGGTGCGCGGCGCCACAGCACTGCTTGCAGACGGGGCAGGTGCGCTTCTTCTTGCCGCCGGGGCAGTACTCCAGCCATTGCTCCAGGCTGCGGGCATCAAGGGCCAATCAGTCAAGAAGGGGCCTGAGTTAGCCGGCCATCGCTGGATCCAGGCGAGATTAAAGAGAAAATGGGATGGAGAGGGAGAGGGGGAGGATACCAGAGGGCGTGGAAGACGTGGCCGCAGGCGGGGAGGCAGTGGAGGTGCTGGTCGGAGAGCGGGCGGAGGTCCTCGTAGCAGATGGTGCAGACCGGCCATGCGGCGGCGGCGACGGTCATGGCGGCGGCGGCGGCATCCGACGGGGAGCGGCTGGCCCCTCCTCAAATGTGGTTGGATTTGGGGGAAAAAGATAAGACAAGAGCTGATCCCGCTTTCGTTTCGCGCGATTTCGCGAATTTCAAAATACAGTGGAGATTTCGTGGCGGGCAGGGGGGGATTTCATCCCCTTTTCGCGCAGGTGGAAGATTGTTGTATTTTTTAATATAAAATTCGTTGAGAAGAAATTAACCAGGTTGCCGATTAAATTCAAAACTATGAAACTACACTGCAATGCTGGTCCGTTCCACACTATAAATCGAGTTGACTTTCAAATGCTATACGGCAATCACGTGTTTTAGAGTAATCCATTACTCGATTTTTCTCTTCTCTTCTCATCTCCCTCTCTTCTTCTCTAGCTCCGGCGGACTTAAAAGAGGCTCGAGAGAAGTAGGTCGGCCACGCGGTGAGGACGGCAGGAGGGCAGCGGTTAGGGTTTCAACGGCGTAAAAGGCGGCCAGACCAAGTCGAGGCGAGGGCGCCCATGGTCATGGCGGCAACGGGAGGGGGGGAGGGAAAGGAGGAGATCGCTGCGAGCTGTAGGATCAACGGGAGGGGGGGAGGGAGGGAGGAGGAGGAAGGAGGAGGTCGCTGCGAGCAGTAGGGTCTTGTTGGCGCTCTGCGGTGGGCGGCGGCAGTGTTTCACGAAGACGCAGTGAACGCCCATGGACTTGAGGTAGGCGAAAAGAAGATGATCATTTGATCTTGATCCAATGGTCCGAATGAATCGAGTGTCCAACCGCTTTAAAACATTCGATTGCTATGTAGGCAAACTCTTTTTAGATACATAATTTTTCGTTTTGATTTTTTTTAGATACATAATTTTGTTATACATTTAGATTCAGTAAAAACATGTGCTTAAATTATGTTATGTCTAGACAGTAAAAACTAAAAAAACTATGTCTTGTACATTGAAATGGAAAATACATAGTAAAAAATATGCACTTAAATTTATATTATGTCTCACAATAAAAACTAAAAAAATAAGAATAACTTAGAATTTGAAACAGAGAGAGCAGATTTCAACAAAAACCACTTCAAATGCATGGTTTTGGTTGAAACAATTCTGCCAATGTCCTTGGCGAGCCCTCTTAATAAGTCTTAACGAAAGGAAAAAGGGCAATTGTCTCATGTCAATATTGGGACTTCTGCAATTAAGGAAGTTTCACGCAAGAACAAAATAAAACAAATATTTTAAAAGACACATTACAAAGAATATTTACTTTGCAGTTCATAATCCTAATCCAAACATATATCTCCAAAAAGTCCTTAAAGTAAAGCAAAATAACTGTAGCTTTGACAAACAGCCTGTTCGTTTGGCTGTGGCTTCGTAAATTTCCAGCCGGAACAGTATTTTTCTCTCACACAAACCAACCAACAGTACTTCTTCACGAACCAGCAACGAAACGAACCAGCCAACCGAACAGGCTGAGTCTGTTCGAAGTTAGCCATAGTTAGAAGTAAATGACTGAATCAAACAAATTATCAACAGCACAAAATAGCAACTTGCAACCCATGCAGCTGCTCCGTTCTTAAAAGTTGAAACCATTTTCTTCACGTCCAAGGATCATCTTCACAGTTTGCACACCATACAAGACACGGCAGAGAGCCATGTTCATAACCACATTCACACAACATCTACACTTTCCCCTAAAAAGGAAAACAAAAATCTACTCCTGCACAGGAAACACATGAACTATACAAGTATATGTGGGGCAGAACTCTGCTGGTCATCATAGGTTGCTACATCAGCTGCAACATTGTCAGAAGAACCGCCTCTTCAAGCTTCTGGTTGTTGCTTGGTAGGAGCGCATGAGGAGCCCAACGCCTATGCCTACACCGACACAGACTCCCAGGCCGATGCCCACGCCAACTCTGACGCCAGCATTGAACCATGAGAGCTGCCCATCATCATCGTCCGAGTACCAACCTTCAGGGTATTGCATGCTACCAGTGTTCATATCATTGTCGCCTTCATTGCTAGCAGCCTGCCAAAGAAGTTGATATTGATCAACAGAAACTTGAGGTTCAATGGTCACAATCTGTTGATTGGTGCAAAAGAACACCGTTTGCCAAGCATGCAATTTCAGTTGAAAGCATAGGCACGTGGACTGATGAACCAAACATAGTATAGCCACTTTAAATGCAAAATTATATTGTGTACCAAGAATATAATAGAGGCAAACCCCCAAGATACCTATTGCCTATGATTAAAAAAAAAAAGACTTGACGACAGGAGGGAGACACCCCCTGGGCTTTGCCTTATGAAGCCATACCAGAATTCGAATGCAACCAGCAAGGGGAGACCCCTCGGAGCACAATGCTTACCCAGTATGACTCTTAAAAGCAGCATTGCTGCAGCTGCAGCAGCTACAATCCTCTCACATTTTACTGTATAAGAAGAAGCAGCTGGCTGCAAAGTATTTTAAGCGAACAGGCTGGTTCATGAAGTGACAAGAGGAACTAGACCAAAACTAACGTGTATTCTCTAGGCACTAACATCAGAGCAGATACGTTGGACCATACACAGCTCTACCAACACTTTACAAACACTTGTACATTTGTTCAACTATAGTGAAGGGGTAACATTGCGAAATGATAATTGCCAAGAAAAATAGACTTATATTGCAAAACGGAGGCAGTACTTCCTGAAGCTTTCAAGCCAATGGTAACCTCACTTGGATTATTAGTTAATCTCATCATATCAGAACAAACCTACTTAATATAATTTGGACTGAGCAAAGCATTTACAAGCAGGGCACCAAAGATTTTATACCACAACTGTATGGGCCTCATACCATCAGGTTATAACTGATAGTCTGATGCCAATACCATACATATGCCAATTGAAATAGTTATCTCAAGGTTCTGAAGATAAACCATGACTTTGAATACCACATGATGAATAGTAAATTTCCCTAAACAAAGCCAATGTGGGAATCAGTGAGAGACTATATGTGGTACAATGTTTCTAGCAATGCAAAATATTTTGCATGATGTAGTCCAATTAAATAGATACATAGTTAAGAATTCAGAACCACTGTTCGTTTCTAATGGAGTAGCATGCATATAGCTTGTACTTTGCAGGGATGTTAATAATGAGAATGAACATGGTAATTCTGACTAGTTAAAATATATGTATTTCATTTAGTATAAAACGGAGCCTGGAGGTGCATTACCCTTCAGTACAGACATTACTTTTGGCAACACTTACAAGCATATCAATCCAAAACTGGGGACAAAGACATTATTACCAGCAAATCCATCACTATCACAGGAAAAAAAAATGAAAACGTGGCATCTGAATAACTCTGTTCCATTTACAGGATTACATCTGCACAAAAATGTTTCTACCGGAGTGACAGTGCAATTGACAACAACATGTCCTGCCAACTGAACTTGGACCACAGACGCTATGCAAGAACAAAGCAATCCCAATCAGAAGACACTACTACATGAGTTGTACCTTGTAACACGGCATGAACAAAAGGTTTATCCATTTCTGCCACACCAATATGTCCACTTGCCACCTTACAGGCTTACACTAACCTAAGGACAGGTTTTATTAAATGACAACGGTAGCCAGCCACTTTGCTGCTTGTATTTGTTTCTATATCAAAGCTACTCAATTTCCATTTAACAGCAGGCCACCCAGTAAAATGAAGCGACTAACGTTGCTGAGAAAAAAATAATTAACACTCACCGCCAATGCCCCCGATCGGGGGCGAACCAACGCACCGGCTGCTTCCTCAGGGGTGGCTAGCCGCAGGGCGTGCGTGAGCACCGCAGGCTCGCCGGCGCAGCACCCGGCGACATACACCTCGAAGGCCGAGGCCGAGGCGGCGGCCCCAGCAGCGGGGACGCAGTCGATTTCCCAGGCGGGGGAACCGCCCTTGGCACCGGGGCACCACCGAAGCGAGCCCCGGAGCAGCGCGGCGCCGCGGTGGTCGGCGACATCGAAGGCCGCGGCGGGCGGGGGCAGCCGCGCGGCCGCGGTGGAGACGTAGGTGGCCTCGCCCGATGCGGTGTCGTGGCGGTCGAGCCGCAGCGGGAGCGGGATGGCGGGGGCCTGGGCCTCGCCGTCGCCGCCCGCGGGGCGGAGCTCGAGCGTGAGGCGCGGGGGTGGGGCCGCGCCGCCGTGCGGGGAGACGCGCACGTAGAAGAGCCGCACCTCCAGGCAGCCGCCGGGGTCCGCCATCCGCGCGGCGCGAGGTGTCCTTGTTAGGGTTGCGCGGCCATGGAAGGAAGCCTATTAGGTGGAGTCGGGTGGTTAACCAAAGTGGAAGCGATTAGTGATAAAAGTATATTAATATTAATGAAAAGAGAATGGGCTTAGTCGTGGGCTGGATTTTAATGGGCCGTAACTGGGCCCTTCTAATCAGGAACGATAAGCGCAGGAAGTGGGGGGTATTTAACTTTTACCATTATTACCAATGACTCCTGAGATAGCAGCTTTAGGTTTGGCGCTATGTTTTTAGCATCGGAGAGAGAAAACGATACACATTTACCACTTTTGCTCGTGTGGCACGCCAAATCCGTTGTCCAGCTCGGATACGAGTCAGCAGGCCGATGTAAAATGACCACCCTGCCCCTGGCATCTGTATTACCCCGCGGCCCACTCCACTCTCTCCCATCCGCTCCCCTTTCTCCTTTCTTTGGTCCACGCGCGACACAACGCTGTCCCCCACCACGAGACATGCCCCTGTCCCATTATGCCGAGTCATCTGCAAGGGCGAGGAGTCGGGTCCAAGGTGCCCTGAGCTCCCGCATCACCTCCGTCTGTGTGGATCCAGTAGGTGAGTTGAGCGGCTTCCCGTTGATCCCTTGCTCGAACTGTGGTCTTGCTCGGGTGGTGGAGGGGTGAACCAAGAAGGATGGTGATAACCACGGGCGTCTGTACTTCAAGTGTGCGAGGAACGGGGTGAGTTCTGTGTACTGTCCATCCCCCATTGTCACAGTTAGGGTTCTAACTTTGGTTTTTTTGAAGTTTCCCAAGTTGTGTGGGTACTATAGATTTGAGAAGCAGTACTTCGAGCAGCTAAAGGAGAATGGCATCATCCAGGTTCACCCCTCCAACTGGGCAGAGTTGGTGGATCATGAAGATGTTTCAGTTGACAGTCCAAATGGTCCCAACAATAATAGGAAAGATTTGGAGCACAAGATGGGGACATTGATTTGGAAGATGAACATGTTCATTGTGTGTGTTATATCTGTTGTTTTTGGATATGTTGTGATGTATGTTGCAATGAAGTGACAATATATGGAAAATAAAAGTTGTGTTTCAATGTGACAATGTATGGAAATGAAAATTGTGTTTTAATGTGACAATGTGTAAATTGTGTTTCAATGTGTCTTTTGGCAGTGCCTAACTTGGTAACAAACACAAGACAGATCAACTAAAATAGTTATACATGTTAACAACAAAAACAAGACAGATCAGGCACATGTTAACCATGACAGTAGTTATACATGTTAACAACAAAAACAAGACAGATCAGGCACATGTTAACCATGACAGATTCAACATAACAGATCACACATAACAGATGGAACACATTAACCATAAACCGGCCAATAGTGCTACATTCAGGCCACATCAAACAGAGTTGTTGTTCAGAGGAGTTGCCACAAGTTTTGGCCACATACAATAGTTCAGGCCACTTACATAGCTCTGGCCACTTACATAAGCATGTCTGCCCAAGGCAAGGCCTCAATTACACAAAAAAGTCATTTTGAGTGCCTTTTACAACCAAATGAATGTCCTCCATGCTGTTTTTTCACTCCATTCACTCACTTCTTCCTCTTCTTAGCTGGACTCTTCTTGGTCTTGGTTGCTAGCTGCTTCTTCCTTGGAGTGAACTTCTTAGGATGTGGGTCAACAGTTATTGCTGCAGTTCATCTAGCTCACTCATAACTTGGAGTTCACGGTAGAGGTTCCTATTTGTGAAGAAATTACATCAGAATAGCCTCAATTAGACAAGTTGTAATGTTTTTTAAGTATAGCATACCTCCTAGTGCTTGTAGAGGGTGATGATGACGGTGGAGGCTCAACCTCAAGTGGTGGCACATCTAGGACATCCCTCTCAGCAGTAGCTGCAGCTTCTGTTGCTGCAGATGCCTTGGCTGCAGCTTCTTGGGCCTCCTTACTGCCCTAGCTGCTGCTTCTCTAGCCATTGTTGTCCTTGTCCTAGGTGTGTTTGCTCCACTTGTATGGTATGTCTTGTTCTTCTTCCTCCTAGGTCTAGGTGCTGACTTCTTAGTTCTTTTCCTATAATACTAGTGTTAGGTATCATGGTTTGAAGGCAACAATAATAGAAATCAGTTAGTGTGCAAATTACCTTTTCTTTGTGCCAGTCAGATGACACCTCCAGCTTCCACTCCTATGACCATACTCACCACAGTTAGGGCATTTCACTTGTCTTGTTGCTCTGCCACTTCTCTCACCTGGAGCAAGATGCCTTTTCTTCTTCTAACACTCCCATCATGTTGTGCTCTAGCTCTAACAATCCAGGGGCAGCCAAGAGACCCACAGTGACCCCTAAACCTTTGAGTGTCTGAATGAGCAGTAGCAAGTTCAAACTCCTTTACTATGGCATGCTGCCTCACTGCTAGCCTAAAATCATCCATACTAGGGTAACAAACACCAACAGACATGTCAGGATTGTCCATGTCCCACTGAAACATTAGCTCCTCAGGCACATTGTCATCAACTAGAACAACAGATTCACCCATATCCTTTTGCATCTCAGCTGTCATGGTAGGGATAGGCACTGCTTCTCTAGCTGCTTCCTCTGCCCTCTCATCTGCAGTCTTAAATCCCATTGCCTCATAAACTTTGTCCTCATCAGCAGCTGCATTAGCACAACCATCATCATTGCCATCTGGTAGTATGGTCAGATTGGCCCAATCAACTGGCTCAACTACATCAGCAGGCACAGAGGGAGAAGGAGGAGTACTACATGTATCACTAGTGCCCTCTACATTCTCAGGGGCAGCATTAGAAGCTCTGCCACCTCCATTATCATAAATCCCACTGCCTTCACCAGTTGTCACACCAGAAACACACCTTCTACCAGAACTAGCTTAACAGACTCTCCATGTTCGCTGACCACATCAACTACAAGGAAAGCAACCCTGTCAGCCCATCTATCCTTTATCAGTTGCTGAAAATGCTCATCCCTTCTGACTTTTCATTCAGAACCACTATCAGTGTCAAGAACCTAGACTACTAGAGTTTGTAATGGACCCCAAATGATTTTTTTGTGGGCATCTCCTCATGAAATTTCTCCAGACTATACTGCAAGTTTCTATCCAGCCACAGTTCATGCTATTGATCAGCCATTTCTACTAGCCCATACTCCCCATCCACGACAAACTTAGGAACCTTAACAACTAATCTAAACGTGTTGTCAAGATCAATCCTGATAGAATGCAACCATAAAAAATAAATCAACGAGTTAGACAACATCCTACACAACACGGTTCGTACACAACACCTACCATTTCGAATGCAATGAGACAGAGTGATTGATCTTACCAAACGGGACAGCCGGTCCAATCCATTGTTTGAGGACCTAGGGAATAGATCACCAGCCTAAGCAGAGATGGGCAAAAACCGAATCAAATCGACGAACCCTAACCCTAATCCCCAAATCAAGGCAACAATGCAGACCGCGAACAGGGTTCCAAGCAGACACATACCTTTACACCATCGCCAAAGTGCTCGGGGAGGACATGTCTCGCGGTGGGGGCGGTATTGTGCGCGGCGGCGGCTGGCAGGCGTCGCGCGCGGACCAGAGAAAGGAGAAAGGGGAGCGGATGGGAGAGAGCGGAGTGGGCCGTGGGGTCATACAGATGCCAGGGGCAAGGCGATCATTTTACATCGGCCTGCTGACTCAGATCCGAGCTAGACAGCGGACCTGGCGTGCCACGCGAGCAAAAGTGGTAAATGTGTATCATTTTTCTCTCTCCGATGCTAAAAACGTAGCGCCAAACTTAAAACTGTTATCTCAGGAGTCGTGATCGGTAATAATGGTAAAAAGTTAAATATCCCGAAAAATGGAGGAGAGCAAAGCGAGCAACACGGAATCCAAAATCCACCACGATGAGCGGCAGCGGCGGTGGGCGAAAGGCGGTGGCCCCCGGCGGCGAGGAGGTGGAGGTGGAGGCGCTCATCCGGGCGGCGCAGGACGCGGTGCTCCTGAAGCTCCAGGCGAACTCCCACCTCGTCTCCTCGACGCCCGCCGCCCTGGCCTCCAGCCCTCCCCCGTCGCTCGACGCGGCGGCGCTCGATCCCCTGGACAGCGACCTCGCCCGGCGCTTTGACGCGCTCAAGTCCCGCGCGGCCGCGCCGAAGCCGAAGCCGAAGCCGGCCGCGATGGATGAGCTGGAGGCGTGGTTCGCTGCACTGAAGGGGGCGGTGGCGGGGCCAGAGAAGGATGCGAGGTTGAGGCTGGAGGATCTAGGAGGGGAGTCGTCGGAGGATAAGGCGGACGAGGTGGACAAGGTGATGCGCTGGGCGATGGACACCGCGCGCCTCGACGTCGCTGCGGCGGGCGCCGGCGGCAAGGCGAAGAAGCGCGCTGACGACGAGGAGGAGGAGGAAGAGAAGGGTGAGAAGAGCAGCGTGAGTAGCGAGGACGACGACGACGAGGATGAGAGATTGCGGTTGGAAATGGCGAGGAAGAAGACGGCCAAAACCAAATCCAAGAACAAGTGGTTCTTCTTGTGATTTCCTACTACTCATCATCATATGTAAGTTTCATATCTATTTCAATCCAAAGATTTATCATATGCTCTTACCCCAGCAGACAACCACTTATCTGATATTCATCTTAACTGTTTGGGAATTTACAAACTTGCATCTTGTTGTTTCTTGAATCCAAACATGTGTACACGACACTTCCAAGAATGCAATATGCGAATGAAAAATCGAATGCAATATACAAATGAAGAATCGATGCAACCCATGTTTATTTTTTCTTTCTGTTGATGAAAATGCATACCAATTCCTATGCCCACTTTGGATCGTGGGGGAAAAGTACATAGGATTCCCAAACTTAGGATAGTGGGGAAAACATAGGATTCCCAAAATTTGAGGATCCATAAGGTTCCCAAAATAAATTTAAGGATCAGGTAAACATAGCATTCCCATTCTTAAGAATTGGGTAAACATAGGATTTCTATTCTTATGGATTTAAGGATACAGTAAACATAGGATTCACATTGTTAAGGATTGGGTAATCATAGGATTCAAGATTTCCATTCTTAAGGATTGGGTAAACATAGGATTTAGGATTTCCATTCTTGAGGATTGGGTAAACATAAGATTCCCATTCTTTTGGATTTCCTCAAGGATTGGGTAAAGATAGTATTCCCATTCTTATGGATTGGGTTACTGCTAGTGTTCAGATGAATCGCTTATATATACAAGAAAAACATAGAAAAATTTCCTTGCATTCTATTCCACAAGAAAATCACGAGAGAAAAAAATCCACTCAAATCTCAATGACTAGTGTTTTTCATTTTTCAGTCTTGCATATGCATTCATATCCTATTCAGTTATTCTTGTGTTTTTCCTACTACTGCATTTTTTCAATCCCGTGTTCCAAGAGGATAAGTAGAGCAAAACTTTAGGTAAACCTGAGTATGAAAACCAGAAAAGATGTCAACATACAATACAAGTCAGGCTAATATTTGGAGCACAAGTGAGCAGCTCATTATCACAGTATCTGGGATCTGGCATATTACCAACACATGAGTTCACTCAGGTAGTTAACGCCAATTATAACTCTCATAAACCACAATGACATGCTACATTTCAATCTGGATGGATGGAGTACAATGTGTCACAGATACTCAAGGCAAGCGCCAACCATCATTCCTGCCATAATTATCTTCACTTGCCACTGCAAAAGTTGGAAACGACAGATTTTAGAAGTCCACTCACTTGAAATTACAAGGTTCAGATTTCTTAGCCAGAATACAAAGATAGGATTTGTTCACTCACGTGTTCATCAATTCATGTGATGGGGGAACAATTTTCCAGGTATGCATGTTTTACTAACCCAATGATTTCCTAGTGTTCCTGACGTTGATTTCCTCAGCATCATCGAGGACCAAGGTCATGTACTCATCGAATCCCTGCAAGTGTAAGTGTATAACAAACTATGAGCTAAGTTTCACTCAACGTAGTACAATCTACATGGTTTAATGAGAGCAAAATCATATCGAGGTATGAGTTGTCCTACCGAACAGTATGTGATTAAAATGGCCCTTTTCCTAACTGACAATATAACTGCAATGATATAGCCTTATATGGTATCTTTGGGACGGTTACAAGAACGTGGAGCTTCAGCAGGAGCTATACTAGGGACTTAAGGGTGAGCTTCTTGTTCCCTTTTTCAGACTAAAAAACATGCCTTGAACACTTCATTTTACCCTATATAAATTCCAAAATTTGTATGAATCCTAGTGTTCAAGCTCTCTCAAAGATCAAGCATTATATTCCAAAAGAAAATATATGAACAAGAGGCTAAGCCTTAGCAATATGCAGAAACCTAGAATTTCGGGCCACAGTAGAAAATGAATTGAATTTGTGTTACTATAAAGCCAGTCTCAGTGGAGGATTTCATGGAGTTTCATCAGCATTTATTATAGTGACACCTCAGCAAAAATGATGATCTGACAAGGAATTTAATAAGAGAGAGGGAAGAGTTTCACCCTCGATTGGCACTGTTTCCAAAAGAATGAAACTCTGATGAAATGGCACTGAGAGCGCAAAGTTTCATCACCGAGCTATTTCGCCTATCCTGTGCGGCTCCTCGGGCGCCTGTTCCTACCTGCTTCTCCCGCCATCTGCTATCTCTCCGCCTTCTCATTTTTCCTCTCCTCGCCATCTCCCATGGAACTGTCAAGCAGTTCGAGTGCATGAGGCAAGGCCCCTAGGACTTTTTGTTTGCAGCACCATATCTGTCAGTCTGATTGTTTCCAACGACTGGAAAAGGCATGGACTGATGCTTTCTATGTTTTTTCATCTGATTTTTTTTTCTGCATATAGCCTACTATTTTGTTTATTTTGTCTCTGTTAAAATTAGTTTGTCAAGTAATTGTGGTAGAATTCTGTCTGTGATAGGATTTTGTTCATTGTCATTTGAACAAGAATACGTTCTGTACTGTAGAAAACAATTGAATCGCAAGTGGCTACATAAATCATATGGTATAGTTGATCACAACACCATGCAAGAATTAAATGTTGCAGTTAGCCTATGAAACAGTGAAACGAAACCGTGCATTGAGAGAGGATGTTTCATTCATTCGTAAAATTGAGGTGACACACTTGCAAACTGGGATAGGAAACCTCCCACTGAAACTGGCATAACTCTATTTAGTTTTTAAGACACCACTGATGGCAAGCAATAGAAAATGGAAAAAAGGAAATCTGTGCAACCCCGCAATATATATATATATACCCAGCAGTGCGGGGCCACCCATACATTAATCAGACCAGACAGCAACATAGAAGACCAAATAAGGGGAAAATGGGCAAGTCTAAAACGAAAGGTCCTGCATTTATATCACACAACGAACACATATAGGACAACACAAATGACTATTGAAACAGAGATAAACAAAGAAACACATGATAGCATACCATACACCAATCACCCACGACAATAAAAATATTTCCCTAAGAAACCCAAGGAGCACTAAACATGTCCATAAGTTGTTCCTGACTGTCACTTATCACCAATCATTTGTTTCCTAGTGTTCATGAGGCAAAACAAGAAATTCACAACACATATACAGTGTGATGCTCTGTAGCCAGAAAGTGATCCCTAAACGAAAGCATTCTAAATAGCATCTTCCACAAATTCTCTCACTAAGCATTGATAATATTCTGATTGGGCAAAAAGGTAACATCTTCATAAGAAAGCAACACAGCTCGACACTATTTCATAATTCATAGACTAGTTCTTCAGGTCCCACAACAAGAATTAGGATTGATTCCAGATTTACAGGATTGCAATTTACAACTTGATGAAAAGGAATACTCAATATTGGAACACCATTCCAATCACCTATAGAAGTCAACAAGCACTTGATTATTGGCAAAATATTGCATCTAAGCATTCACATGGCACCAACCAATGTTGCCTACCATGCTTTCGTTGGAACAAAATCGCTCTCTAACATTCTGTTAGAAATAGGTACGAATCTTTTGAGGGCACTTACTTGAAACCAACAATTGCAAGTGCCTTAGCTTAAGGATTGCGATCTTACAAAGAGTGTGGATCACACTCAGACCATATTAGTAGATGCTTGTGGCAAAGCATTTGGTTAAGGTCACACGTCATGTGATTTTAAGCCACCAATTGTAAAGTGTTTTTCCAGCTCGCCTTTAGCCCATAACAAAGAAAACCCAACATATGGCTCATGTTTATCCCACCCTTTTGCATTCTTTTGGGATATTAGGATAATTAATCCCCATAGATGAAACTAAACTACTATTTACACATACAGGCGCAAGCCTGAGAGTTACTAGTCGGTAGCAGAGAGCTACTAATACTAAATTCTGCCGTTTGAACAAGAAACAGGGCAAAAAAAACTCACGATGATGCGGCCCTCAATCCGGAGATCCTTCTGCTCGAAGAGTCAGGTCTGGATGCACGCTTTCTGCCAGAAATCAAATTTCAAGAACCAACAGCCTGTTCGCTTCCTCGTATACGATCGTGGATTATAAGCTGAAACAGTATTTTTCTCTCGCACCAAACCAGCCAGCGGTAAATAATCCACGATCATTTACGACAAAACAAACAGTCTGCAAATCAATTTACAAACCCTGACCGAAGCACCGCAAAATAAGCAGATATGAGCATATAGTCCAGAAACAGAAACGAAATTTTGCAATCCACTTACGCTCTGGAGGAACCTGAAGATGAGGTTCTGCCGCCGCGCACGCCCACTAAGGATTCGCCAGCCAACCACCACATCAAAGAGAGGGCGAGACGATTAGGAACAGCACGACGACACGAAAATCATGAGAGCCAACAAGCGCGGAGGGCAAGGCGGCGGAGAGGTAGGTTACGATGGGCTGGGTCGCTGGTCCTTGGTGTTGGTGGACGCCATGGTTGCTGCGGCTGCGGCTGCGGCGGCGGGAGCCTCCCCTCCTCCTCCGCGGACGGATGCTCGCCTTTGCCGCCGTCGGATTCAACCAACGGCTGAGATTGAAGGGCCCGAATAGGATGGAAGCCAGGAAGGGCCTTAAGAATTCAGATGGGCCCCGGACGAGGAGGAAAATGGGCCGGAATCGTAGGGGAGTTTCCCCACTGCGAGATCATTTTACAACTTTCTAATTTGTACGTACGAGGGAGTACAATCTGTTTTGCTGTTGTTTCGCCTGAAGGGACCAAATGTTGACATTCAAATTTAGTGAAAACTAGAAAAAAAAATGCTCGTGCGTTGCTACGGGACCTATGTTTATTGTAGGATTCTCATACCAATAGTAATTAAATATATTTTTTTTATCGAATTTATTAATTGGATTTAATCCAACATTAAATAAATCAAATAAATTATAAGGCCCCCGCCGCCCTTGGCTTGCTAGTTGGTCGGTGGAGACGCATAGAGAACAGGGGCGAGTGGGTGGAGACAGCCGTCACTGTTTATACGAACTAAAATTTCTATTTTATATTTTTTTTCTCTATGTGTCATTTGGAGATTATGTAACCCAACTGAACAAAACTAATATGGAGCATCACCCTCGACTCAAGCCTAAAGAGAAGGCAGTAGCCATTGGCATATTTTAAAAGGTAGAAAATAAATTTCAGCCAAGTACATGTCCTTCAGAGACATATCACTGGATGGCCATGCAAATCAGAAGAGAATCAGAGCAAGTTTACACATCTAGAAATTAGGACTTGCCAGCTGAGTTACTTGATTGACTCTACTCATACTGTGTATATTTTGAACCGTAATCACATGTCTATCTAAACTAAAGTGGCAAGTCTAGCAGCAGACATATTTTAACATTATTACATATAAATATATGCAATACCATATTTTCATAGTTTTTTTTGTCTTGCCGGATCAAGTTTACACATCTAGAAATTAGGACTGGCCAACCGAGTTACTTGATTCTACTCATACTGTGTATATTTTGAACCGTAATCACATGTCTATCTAAACTAAACTGGCAAGTCTAGAAGCAGACATATTTTAACATTATCACATATAATATATGCAAGATTATTTTTATATACGCAATACCATATTTTCATAGTTTTTTTTGTCTTGCCAGATTATTTTAATATATGCAGTACCCCATTTTTGTAGTTTTATTTATTTACTAGCAAAATTGCCCGTGCGTTGCAACGGGGTTAATAAAAAGCATATACAAATTTTTATTCGACTACAGATTTAGGTATAAAAGAAATAATTGCTTATGTTAAAAGATCAAATTTTGTTTAGTGTGTGAACACCCATGGTAGTTGTGGTTCGTCTCCACCTCGTCAACCTCTCCTCAAACACTGCTACTATCACCTCTAGCTCGTCCATGCAGGGCATGTCGTCTTTCCTCCATACCTTTTGAAGTGTGCACTCCCACCGCACCACTACATTGTTGCTTTCAGCGTAATGCATGATGCAGAACAGGGTGCGGCGTGGTCGGAACGCCAGCACCGCACCCAATCCATCACTAACGAGCAGTGTCCCAGATAGAGCCTCATCATGGGCGCTGGCCCCAACGGAATGCTTCACATATAGCAGGACCACTGAGCTTGTAGAGATTGGAGCCCCAATTGCCGAGCTTGTTGGCTCTGCACCGCTGCTCTATGGCATCGTACTCCGTGAACACCACGCGGTCGCCTCGCCGTCGTTGTTCCAGCCATGGAATCCTGATCTTCTTATCAATTCCTATTTCTGATGCCAATGCAATGCGCCGTGGTGGCAAGACCAAGCGTAGGGCCAAGCCATGCAGATACACAAGTTTTGTAAGCTGCTGATGCGGCATCATGCGGGCCGCCTGTAGGAGTATTAAGCCTGCTTGCATCACTATTTGTAGGGAGATAGACTTGTCACCTGTGGTGGCGTGGCCTCGAGTGCTTTGTGCTCATGTGTTGTATTTCATTTGGATCGTTGTTTCTTTTTAACTTTAACTTAGTCAATATGCGTCCATTGTACATGAGATTTTTACCATAGATTCTACACATCAATAGAAGATTATCGTAAAATTTCACTGCAAAAGGATTAAGGAAACATCCTCTATCAGTTTATGAAAGAAACACATAGATCTATAACTACACGAAATATTTTATTCTAGTGTAGACCTAGTCAACAGGAGTTCAAAAAAATAGTTTTGATATTTTTTATTTTTCTATTCCTATAATCTTCACATAATTTACAAGCTTATTGTTTTACTAGAAAAAAATAAAAATGAAAAAAAGAAAAGAAGCCAGGCCACGACTCGGCCTAGTCAGCTAACGCAAAAGGCCCACGAGGTGGATTCCAGCCTAGCAGAGAGGCCCAACGTGGGCTGAACTTTTACATCAGGAATCCCCGAGTTTCTCGAATTCAATTTAGATCCTTTCATCTTTTTCTTTCCCTCTTCCACTTTTGCACCTGGAACCCTTCCTTATCTTCTTTTTCTTTTTTCTCATCCTCTTCCCTAAACCCACAGAACCGCCCGAATCTCAGGCTGATCCGTGCCGGTGTTAAACAGATCCAGATCGGACACGGATAGGCTGGACGAAAATTTGTAGGTGGCAGAAATTTTGCCTCTTTATTATTAGGTATATATTTTTTGTATTTTTTGTCTTGCCAGATTATTCAAAATTATGTAATACCATAATTTCAAAGACTCGTGTAATACTATATTTATTACTTCTATTTATTTGATTTT